CTGAGAGAGAACAGGTGCCGATACCACGTGGATGGCCTTGTGGTATCACATTGTGTGTGAGCACTTACAACTTCCCAAATGGGACGGGGTATTTTGTACAGTCTTTTTGAAGTAACACTGCTTGTGCTGCTTGAATTCAGTGTTTTCTTCCTCCCCTTTTTTCTCTTTTTCACACTATTCCAGAGAGGATTTACTCTATCCACTGTGATAAAACTGCACTGCCATCACAAAAGCAACAATGCTCTAGGATTTTATCCTTCTCTGCAGCAATGGCAGCATGCCCTGCCTGGTGGAGACCTGAGACAGGGCACTGTCATATTAATGTTACTTTTGCATTGTCTATGATAGGGAAGCATTAGAAGATGTACGAGCGCTCAGCCAAAAGCATCAGAAGAGATTTCACACAATCATAAGGAATCCAAGTGTGACTGGAGGGCTGGATGAGTCAGGAAAATTGTTTACACAACCCTTTCAATTCCAGGTTATTTGTCTGAAGGCGAACCATTTGCAGGCCCTCAGTCTTTTTCCTGTTAGACAGTTCACCACAGACAAGATAGCCAGTACCCCAGTGCATGCCAGGATGCATGTGGACATGGAGATTTAATACCACCTGCCCTAAGGGTCTAGAGATGCATTGACCATAGGACTGTTTGTGTTACCCCTTCTGCTCTTGAATGAAAACATGTCTTCTTGCCTCTTTCCTTCCCTAAGCCTCTGTCCAGCCATATTTTCTTTCACCCTTTAACCCTTCCTGGGAGAGTTTCATCAAAGCTGTGACAGTAGCGCAGGTTTCATCAGCAGATCTCAAAACACTTTACATAGGAATTAAGTATCATTAGTCCCATATTACAGATTGGGAAACTGAAGCCCAGAGAGGTGAAGCCACACAGCAGGTGGCTTTTGTCTTTGCATTATGTAAGAGTACAGTGCCTAGCACTTTTGTGACTGTGATGGGTCGTCTGAGTGCTACAGCAATATACATAACAGTGGTACTAACCTTCTCTCCATATGTGCCTAATTTGCAACGGCATGTCCCTTGGAGGGAAGAGTTTGTTATTTTTAGTGCTGTGCAACTGTGGTGATCACCACTGAGGTGAAACTACTTCCTAGAAACCATTCTCTCATGTGCAATGCTCAGGACACAGTTGGTTGTAAGGATTAGATTTTTGAGTGATGCCTTTGATTTTCTTTCATGTTTCCAAGGCAAGCAAGAATTTCAGATCTTCCCAAGAGGCACTTGGCTGGAAAGTAAAGCATGTTACTGTTTGTGGGAGGGCTAATTAGAGTCACATAACCTGACTGACCTGCTTTGACATTAGGATCATGCCTAGCAGGGCTGTCTGTCCTAGCTAGATAGAGATTTAGCTCTTCAAATGTGCCTGATTAGCAAATTGGCGCGTGCTCCAAATCTGGATGCAATGACCATTTGGATGTAATGATTCAAATGACGACTCCACAGACTGATCTGGGTTGAATTTCACTGCATGTATTTACTTGTCGTTTTGGATTTCCCCAAATCCTCTTTTCTTTACTTACCTGCCTTCCCCCACCCCCAATCTAAAATTAGGCAGATCTAGCGAAGACTCTTTGGACTGGTGAACAGAGTAAAGATATGGTGTTGGGAGTGTGAACTGGGCAGATGGTTGCAAGGATTAAGATAAACATTTTTGTGGGGGGAGGACTGAGGCAAAAAAGATCCCATTCTCTTAACACATAAGTTAATATCTGTGATAGGCAATACAAAAAACTAGAACTCTTGGTTCCAAAATGATACCTTTTATTAGACCAACTGGAAAATGGCAAGAAAATTGTCCTTTTCTGCAAGCTTTTGGGATCAAAGTCTCTTCATCAGGCTCTGGGAAAAGTATAGATGGTACAAGATGGTAGAAAGTCCCCATAGGTAGGGATAAGGACATATCTGTGATAGGGAAAGCAAAGACACCTTTACAACTCCATTGAAATATGCTGGCCAGAATAGCTTTTATTACTATTATTATTATTTACTGCCGGTAATTACTTGTGTTAGTCTAGTCTAATGTGCAGAGGCCCCACTGTGCTGTGCATTGCACAGACACAAAGTAAGAGTGCACAGCCCTAAAAGAGCTTATCATTTAAGTGGGTGAGAGATAAAAAGTGAAGTGGGAGAGAACACATATTACTATCCCTATTTTGTAGGGGGGCTATAGACTTGCCTATGGTCACATACAAAGCCTGTGGCACAGCCAGGAACTGATCCCAGCTCTGCTAACCTGGTGTCATCTTTCCTCTTTTTAGCGAGCCACACTCACTGTGCCACAGGAAAGACAGTTCTGGAGGGACAGGGAAGGCAAATTCTGTGAGGTTCATTTAATTTAATTTCCCCCAAAGCATTTTCTCACATGAAAAGAGTTGCGGGCGTTGAACAGCATGGTTGCCTATGCAGCTCCCCAGCTACTCTTTCTATCTGAAGCCATGGTGGGATGACCCTGCTCCTGTTATGCTGGATAGCCCACTTTGAAGGAGACAGTGCCCTGCAGGGCAACACATTCCATACCTGATCTCCATCTAGGGACGGTACTTAGGATGGAAAGAGCAATCTAAAAGGGCAGAGCCAGGTATGGCAGTATCACTGGAACATGGTCCCTCTGGGACAGTCGCCAGGCCCTGGATTTGAACCTAGGATCACAGGATCTAAAATGTGTGAGCTGCTCTTGCCTGAGCTGAAAGGCCCTGTAACCTCACCTGAAACAGCAAACAAGGGAGCCAGGGTCCTGTCTGCTCATTGCCTCCCTGCAGCACCCAGTCTAGGCAAGGGGAAACCCCTGGAGCTGACCCTGGCAGAGCAAGGGGGTGGGAAGAGGAGACTATGCTCCCCACCCTTGCCTCATTCCCAGGAGGACAGGGGTGGGCAGCACTGTAGGAGAGGCTGCCCGGCAGGAAGACGTGGAGCATGGCACGGGGGCAGGGTGCACTTAGGTGCCAGGGCTGCAGTGTTAGCGACTGGTCTGGAGGCAGGGGTGGGAGGCAGGATTGCAGCAGACAGGATGAGTTGGGATTGAAGGGATGATGGGAAGGGATGCTGAATTTGGAGCAGGGGGGTGCAGAGGTGCCTCATCCCATAGAGCACCACACACTTGTTTCTCCAGGTCAGAAAAAGCTAGATGGTTCACTAGCAGGCGAGGGGCCTCAGGATCGTGTTATGTAGTTTCCAATGGAAGCACAAAACACATATGACTGTTGGCATGAGTTAAAACCAATCTGCAGGACTGGGACATAGGAGCAGGGAACAGACAGCAGAACCAAGGCTGGCTGCATGGGGCAGCATCAAGGCCATGCACAAGGAGGGAGGGCCCTTCACGGGGTGGAAGGAAGGATTAGAAGGGACCAGGGAGAGGACAATGGACTCCTTCAGCCCTGCCTGGCTAGAGATGCTGCTGCCATGGGCAGGGTTCACCCCAGTGCTGGATTATGACATGCTGAGGCCCTAAATTATGTCCATGTTAAGAAGCCCCATATGATAAAAATAATCCACGAAAATGGATTTTCACAAATTTTTAAGAAGAATTATTGTTATTTCTGCAAAAATCTAGAACTCCTGGTTCAGAAATGATACCTTTTATTAGACCAACTGAGGAATTGCAAAAAAAAAAATCTTTTTCTGAAAGTTTTCAGGCTCAAATGCCCTTCCTCAGGTTCAGGAACAGTTCAAGATGGTAAAAAGTCCCCACATGTAGGAAATAAACTTCATTTTTGCACAGAGGAAGCAGAAGCTGGAAATCTGACCCTCTGGGTCCATGAGTGTCTTTTTGAGGTTGCTCTTTGTTTTGCATATCCAGCAGAATTTCTTCCTCTTATTTCTGCACTAATTTATGAACTCAGTATGAATAACAACTGTGGAGACATATACAGGCAGTCCTCGGACTTGCGACACAACTGGTTCCTGAAAACCGCATCGTAAGTTGAAAAATCATAACTCGGAACCGATTTTCCCATAGGAAACAACGTCAAAATGGAAAATCGGTTCCTGAACCAAGGCGCCATCCCCTATTTTCACCAAAAATAACCCAGAATTTTGTACTCGATCAATTATAGATGAGTCATAAAGCTACATTAATGTATTTATATTGTAAATAGCAATCATATGGACTTGGAAGGACTTCTTTGAGGTGACTTTGCCGGACCTTTCGAAGGGCTCTCGGTGGCACCTTTTGCAGGAGGGCTCTCGGTGGGACCTTTCAGCGTACTCTCAGCTGGAGCCTCCTCAGGAGTCTTTTTGAGTCTTGTCTCAGGAGTCTTGGCTCCTTCCTAGGAGTCTTGTTTTTTCTGGAGTCTCATCCGCTTTCGTAAAGAAAGCGCCCAACAAAATTTGGGCGGATGTTCCCGGGGCAGACGGGTTCGTTCGCTGCCATGGCATCACCTCCAATCAAGCCCAGTCGAGTCGAAACCGTCGCCGGACTGTCGATACGGGGCACATCCAAATCGATAACCACCGCCTGTCGCTACCCAAAATACTCGTCACGTTTTTTCCCCCCACTAATTGCAAGGCCTTAAGATGTCACTTAACCCTACACACGGCTTCAAACTGGGTGGCGCACAAATCACAGAGGGGGTGGGGGCAAATGCACTGTGGATCTCACTGTGGGGGAGGCCAGACTCATGCGCTGGGGGGGTGCAAAAGTGAGTGACCCACCCACCCCCACAGTTAGTGTCTGTGCAGAGGGTGGGCAGAGGAACCCAGAGGAGGGCTGAGGAAGGAGGGTGCCCCGCCCCTTTGCCCCC